GAATTTGACTTTATAACTCACATTTATGAGTTTATATCTCAAGGAAAGTCATAACAACACTATATAAACTTATGATTGCGAGGAAAAAACTGAGATAAAAAACCGAGATTATCTTTTAAAGTGTTTTATTCCATGGCGGAAACAAGCTTCCATACTAAAGTGAGTATTAAGTACTAAAGTGAGTTCCATACTAAAGTGAGTATTGACTATTCTAGAGGAAAAAAGTGATTAAAACTGAAAAATATCGAATATTGTTAAGCACAAAGTATCTCATTCACTTGAAACAGAACAGTTTAAATGCCTGCTGTTTTACCTGATTTTTTTTTGTATGGGTGAATATTACTGAATCCAACTAGTCGATTTGATCATGATCATAACGATCAAACCAACATTTCAAACCAAATACAATGGTTAAGTTTCTCAACAATGCCTTTCTGAAGGCAACTGTGCTGGAACAATATAGCTTATTTGACAAAATAATCCATGATTTCCATTGTCAATCATCAATGATTCATCATCATCAATGATTTTCATTGTCAATAGAATTTGTATGGTACTCCAAGGTACTTAAAAACACCATGGTATCAATGGAAATCCAATGTTATTGTTTGGTACAGTGTTTTTATGTACAGAGTTTCAGGTGCAGGTTTGGTTTAAAATGATTATTCAGCAACATTTCTTTTCTTAGTTTTATGGAGTGAGAAACCACACCTAATGATTCAGTAACTGTCTCTGAAATCACCCTCTATACCACATTACTCCAATAATAGTCCCCTTGAAGTGCAAAATGAATGGGAGTCAATGGAGCAAGACGGCTAAATTTGTCTCCTTCACCGACTGCCATTGAGACATCTCAGATTTGAATGTAGGTTCAAATCTGAGATTTCAGATTTGATTTCAGTCAGGAACGATTGTTGTCAGGCACTTAGCTTCACGGTCTTATCTTGTGATACGCAGCATGGGACTGTGAGACGTAACCGCCTATGCAAGCATCAGCTAAGGATGATTAAAGTGGTACAAAAGATCAGTCCCCATACATTCTCTGAGTCGTACCCTGCCACTGGAATCAAGGAGCGGGACATTCCTGATTTGGTGTCTACACCTAGAACTAGGTGTGGGAGACGGGTGGTGAAACATGTAAGGTTGAACCTATATGTGTGTGGTTTACTATTGCATTATAGTTACAAATGCATTGCCCACTTAATGTTGAGAAAAAATTGTTCGAAATATGAAGACATGTTATAATTATTTAGTAGTAGCCTAGTCCATAGTAGGACAAAATATATACTATGGAAGTCAATGAGACCAGAAACTGTCTAGTTACTGATATTCTTCTAAATATCATAAAATCGGCTGAATGGATTCAAAAACGGTAAAACTCACCTGCTTAACTCTAGGGTAGTTGTAAAATGAGCCTGTTTACCAAAAAAGTGGAGTATCCCTTTAAGGGGTGTCTAAAATAGTGGACATTATCGAGTGTGAATGTACAACCGATGTAGCTACACACAACCATAGATATAGCCTACAAAGATGCCTCATTGTCTGTCGTTTCAACGAGCCGCCATCATAGGCCGCCATGTAAACCCAGGGGATTGTCACGCTGATACGTAGGACTTCCAGATTCAGTGATCTTTATGCACTGCCACTTCCGTTGAATCATCGATCTCGCTGGCGAACTGATGACGGACTGCACTAAGTTTATTTATAAGGCATCCCTGGTAAATTAGTCTGATTCACTAAAGTGCCGGCTGCAAACAAAAGTGCTAACTTGTTTTATTTTAAAGTTTTAATCCAGGGCTGCGTTCAGCCCGGACAAAACTTTGCACAGCGTTTTTTAAACAGATGCGTTGAACACCCCGTTCTGATGACGCAAGAGTTGCAACTATGGAGCCCGATAAGGCCATTCTCTGTGTTCTTTGAGAAGAATTTTCAGAGCCTGATGAAGTCAGTATAAATATGTGTTTAATATTACAAAATATACCCGATGTTACAGTAACTGCACCTGCTGCCCAGAACACAAGAGAACATCCCAATCAAGTGAAGGGATTTGTGGAAACTGAAAGCACATATCTTACCTAATTCAGACTAAAACACATTCTGTTTAGCCTCACACACTAACTTTATTTGTATTTCATAATGATTTAATAACCTATTTTCTTTCGCATTTTTAGGAAAAGCACTTACCATTTTTTTATTTCTTGTCATACACTTGCAATGAAGCTAAAATATATAATAAACTACATCATGTTGATATCCTATATTTTTTTACAATAAACACATAATATACTCAGTTGTTGCATATAGCGATCTGCATTGAACAGATTTGTAAATTATTTTCCTTAACCCATTGTGCGAGTTCACTTTAATACCGCATGCTTTATAAACATGTTGCTGCTGATTGGATTGCACTTTTGACACACCCACCAAACGAGAGAAAACATCTCTCAAACCCCGTTGCACACCGTTTCCTGGAAACATGACGTTCAACTAGGAAACCGTAGCAAAACGTTGCGCACCGTTTTGAACTTGAACGTGCCCCAGTACTTCCTTATACTCAATTCAGTCGGGAATCCATGAAAACTTACGTAGGGTTGGCATTGTTGGTTAGATTTACAAAGTGGAACAGAGCAGTGACATATATTGCCTTCGTCTCAGCCATTGTTGAACTGCGTCGGAAGTGGACATGCACAAAGTTGACAAATCCCGCCCACGAAACCCGGAAGCGTGATAATCCCCAAAAATCTTGCAGTTTTTTTTTTATATTTTTTTTTTGTTTAAATGTTTAACCATTTATAACACTATAGTATTGTATTACTTTGTTTTTTTTTTAAATTAAATAACTAACTAGTTAACGGTGCAGAGAAGGTTCACTCGGAGTCGGCACAACCCTCACAGTGCACTCCGAGTGAATTCCCATGTCTCGCCAGAGGAGAGCGCTGCAGCTAAATCAAATCATCCATCCATCCATCTTCCCAACTGCTAGTGCAATGTGGCTACAGCGAAATATCATAAAGGTAAATTCCTTTTTAATTGATTATTCAATTGTTAAATTAAGGTTTATTCATAGTTTCCATGCCAGAGCTCGAGATAGGCAAAACAATTAAGGGGTTGAGGGTCTGTCGAAATAAACTTCCCTTCCCTTGTTTACTTGACAAAGTTGAACACACTTCAACATGGTGTTGGTATTCATTCCCACTGAGGGAAGTGTTTAGGGAAGTGTCTAAAAGTTTTGCTTTATTGGTTTTAAAGAATTAGGCTACAACTACAGTCATTGAATAAACAAAAATAAGACAAATAGCTGCTACATAAAAAAAAAACAGTGACAAACAAACTTAGTTGAATAAAAACTTCTGAACTTATTTCCTCCAAATTTACATTTATGAATAGTAAATGTAGCTAAAAGAAGTGTGTATGGCTAAAAGCAGCCCATGATGTGACCGCTTAAGGGTAAAGAACCAACTCAAAAGAGCGCTTCCTTTTTGAATAGGCCATTGCTATTCTAAACGGCCGACAAAAAAACGGTGGGTATCAGACATAGGCTATTTGTTGACAAAGTGTTGGAAAATGAATAGTCATGTTATGCTACTGAGAGTCACTGTTTGTAGTGAGGAAACTGCCCAAAGATGATTTCTGTAAAATAGTTTATGTGGCACATTCATTAATGTCTATCGCCCCCTGTATAACAGTAGACTTTATATTAATCTAATGGTGTTTACAAAAAGTAGATTTTAAAAATATAAGGGTGTGAGCATAACATGGAGTTCAAAAATGTAGACACAAGCATAAGGAGCTTGAGGTTTCAGTACCCCTGAGAGCAGAGAGCTCTGTCGGATGATACTGTCAGCCAGTTATAGATTAACTAACATATGGGCTGTAGATTATTACAGTAACCTCAGCAATGAAAATGTACCACACTTTTGAATCAGCATTTTACTATCTCTTGTCTCTAGCCATTTGCCAGCTGGAGTGACATTAGTGTCTGTGACCTTGTACGCTTAAACCTGGATAGCAAATGCATCAGCTTGTTGCACTAAAGTAACCTGTTGGCTGTTACGGTGAGCTTTAAGGCCTAGAAATGCAGTGCAATGGAAAATATGTACTTCCGCTGGAATGACAGGGCTGTAGAGATAACTTAGTGCCTAAAATTCATATCACTATATTCATAAGAGTAAGAGAGAGAGAGAGAGAGAAAAGTTTATAGGAAAAATAAAAAAGGGGAAGGAGAACAGAGGCGTGGGTTGTATGCAGGACTTGGAGTTCTGAGTCCTTCCTCTCTATTGGGACACTGTGCCTGTGTTCCAATACATGTCATACATCTTATCTCACTGAACGGTATGCATTCACATGCATGCACCTATAAAAGTACAGAGTCCAAGTACAGAATGACACACCTTTTCTATGTCATTCGGAACATCAATAGTCAGTTGTTGTTTTTTTTGCAATGACTGAGGTTCGGTTCCCCTGGGTGCTAAAACACATAAAGGGTTAGTTCATTGAAAAATTAAAACTCTTTCACAATTTACTTAATGAAACCCTCTAGTCATTCCAAACCTGTATTTTAATTTTCCTCCAGTGGAACAGTAAGGATTTTTTTTCCCTCAGCAAATCTAAAGTCAACGGGGTCCAATGTTTTTTGGCAACAGCATTTTCGTGTAAATGAAAGGCCAAAAAGTTTTCAGTTGAAAACAGAGTTATGTAAACTGCTCCCAAATCTGGCATTTACAACATCGATTAAATGTTGTAAATGTAACATTAAATCCTAGATTTTTGTGATTTTTTTTTTTGTGATAAGGACGGAATGGAATGCATTTTGCTTAAATAGCAGCAGCTCTTAAGTTTGAATTGAGTTGAGATTGAGAGATGTTGAAAAGCATACCACGATTTATGTCCAGTTCCATTGACTGCAGTAGGACACTGTGCTCTGCAGGCACCTCAGCTGACTTGGTAAATGAATGTCCAGGTTTTGTGCCCCTCCTCACAGTTAGCACAAACACAAGGAATGTATTTTGTATTCAATTTTAATTTACAATGCACAAAAACCCAGTACACATTATGTAAAAAAGCAAGTTGCCCAGCAACCCTCATACTTAAGCAAAATATGCCAATCAAATATTCATGAAATATTGACTTTAGTCTCATTTTTAAGAAGTTTTACACAATAGCTTTATTTTAGCCCAACCTGATACAACAATACAAAAGTATGCAGTCGCCGATTCGGTATTCCTCTATAGAGCATCATTTGTAATTAGTTGTTTAAATGGTTCTAATCATGCATAGCCTTTCATGCTTTCTTTTTTTTTTTTTGTTTAAATGTTTAAAACTTCAGGTATAGAAAATGAAAATATACGTTAATTAAAGATGCTTCAGACATCTTAACGAGATTGCCTTGTCTTTTCTTATCCTCCCCTTTTTACTCTTCTCTTAAACATCATAAAGGCTGTCTGGTGAGGCTATGACATATAGCCTGAGGTACAAAAGTATATCTACAGCGACTCCAAGAACACACAGCTCTATGAGAATCAATGAGGGCAACTGTCACGTGGCTATTCCATTAACTTTTAGTAACACCTGCTGCATATGTACAGTCAAACATATTTCTCTGAGACTGGTCAGGGAAACAAAATAGCAAATATTTGATGTAGTCAGATAAAAAGCTTCTTCGGATAAGTTACTTTTCAATATAAATAAATATGGGGCATGTCAGGTGATTGATGACTTGAAATTTTCAGCACCAGTCATTCCAAATCCTATCTTATCTGCTGCATCATCCACAGTATTTACACAGACACAAAAGTTGCTGTTATGAAATAAGTTTGTGTTAATTTAGCTACCAACATCCTAACATACAGGCTAGAGCTAATATTCTACTCTATCTTTCCTTCTCCACCCTTGTCAGAATTGGAGGCTTAACTGTAGGGATTTAAGGACTACTGGTAATGCAGATACTGTCTGGAGTCTGATGCAATATGTTTTGTCTGTCTACAGTCTGTTACCATAGATACAACAGTGTAAGACATGGTCAACAAGTAAAGAGTTTGAATCAATCCAAGCTGACAGGTAAAAAAGCAGGAATACAAAACAGCTACTCTTTGCATTTGGAGATGTCCTTACTTCATCAAATTTTTGCTAGCCCTAATTCCAATTGAATCCTATCGTATTGTCAGACATTAGAATGGAGTGATTGAACACATTTACTATTATTTACAGTCAACTCTTTGTGACCAGCTTTGACCGGATTTCAAAATTGTCTACCGAGGAGCTTTCACAGTCCTCTAAGATATTGCAAAGTTTCAAGACACTGAAACATGGTGCTTTGCAATTGAAAGGTAGTTATAAAAATTATCTCCAGCACATCAAATCAGAGTGTGGTTTGGACTTTCTGCAGTTGCTATGGCCATAATGTCATAACATTCTGCAAAAGATACAATACGAGTGAAAAAGAAACTGAATTTGAGTGTACAAACAGAAGTTAACAAGTTAAGCACTGCGGACAGTACACATTCCAGGACCAGAAGGGGAAGAAAGCATAATACGATTAAGTAAAATGATTTGCCTAGAAAGCCTCCACACAGCGCACAGCATAGCACACTGCAAACCAATATAAGGCCCTCACTGGCTGCCATTACTGCTGTTGTTGTTGTTGTTGTTGTTATTGTTGCAGATGTCTCCAGGGCCTCCACCAGAAGCAGGGTTGTCTGCGAGATTGTGAGCATGCTCTAGAAACAGGTCTTTGAGCACACTCAGTTCTTTGCTAAGCAATTTGATTTTGGCCTCCAGTCTCTCGTTCTCCTCCTTCAGCTCATTGACGCGCTGTTGGGTGTCTTGTGCCTTTTGCTTGCTGCGCATGCGGCTCTTCTTTACAGCCAGGTTGTTGCGTTCTCTCCGTTGGCGGTACTCGTCGCTATCTTTATCCATACTATTCTTTTTCATCTTGCTGGGTGGTGTAGCCTTTCCCCCACCTCCGGGACTCACTGGAACTAATTGAGGAACCTGTCAGAATTATAATAATGTCACACATAGTAATAAGAAACAGCATATCCAGTGTATGGCTAATTTGTGGTTTTGACTAGTGCTGGGCAGTATGACCAGCAAAATCAGGCCAAATCAGGAGTTTTAAACGGCTTTCAAAAGCAAACTTTCTGGAAAAGTTTGCTCCGGCTGGTAAACACCTTCGAACTCCCATTGGTGCATGGCACCAATTACGTAATAGGTAGGTATGCACTAAGGGTCCGCCTTCTTTCCCATGGAAATTCTTCTCTGGTTTAATTTCTTCTGTTGAGTCCATCAAGGTCAGACATTCGCGGGTAAAAACGCTAACACAGTGGAGAGTCGCTTTATAGTAGAAAATGTGAATAAAGATAAAATGTAGCGCTTTTCATGTTTAATATGGGTTTAATATGTTTAAGATGGGCTTTTAAGCAATCTATTGTATTAAGTGCTATATAAATAAACGTGACTTTCTTGGATTGCCGAATTGCTGAGCTAGTGCAAATATCCACATTGCTTTGAGTTTGATCAGATGCTTTTCTTATGCTTTCTTTAAAAGATATTTACATATTCATCTTACCGTCAGTGTTGGTGGTTGCTGTATGTTTGCTAACAGTATATCACTGGTCACGTAATTCGAACTTCTTTTTTACCCCTAAACCAAGAACGAAAGTATATCGTGAGTATAGCGGGCCTTAAGAGCTGCACGAAGAGCTTAAGAGCTTTTTCGCAACCATTTAGTCCACTTTAGACAAAGTTCACATGAATATCCACCAAGATGGGCAATTTGACATGATTTTGTGTGTATTTTGGCCACGTATGCTACAGAAGAGAACTGATTTCGGAATCATATGGTTTCCGAGAGGCTGCTTCCTGTGCGCGCGAGTACTTCGCTCTTTGCATTTAATTTAAACATTACGCATGATGTCACACATAAAACAGTTATGTGTCCAGTCTACTTTTTGATGTCTGCGAAGACCTAAAACTTGGACTTTTTTTTTGTAATCTTTTACAAATGTAGGGCCTAATTTAAAAAAACTAAAACATTTGTAATATTTTGGAGTATGAAAATCATGCAGTTATAATGTGTTAATCATACCATGGTTTAAGCACTGCAAAGCTTTAATCTTGGTTTTGAAGAGTCATTTATATTCATAAATGCATGGGTGAATAGATTAGCTTGTTGATGTGTGTACCTGCTGTAGTCCTGCAGCTCCTGCGGGGTTAAATGCACTATTATGAGGCTGATTCTGTATAACACTGACACCGTTCTGATCTGTGCTGGATATCTTCTGTTGCAACTGCTTGTTCATTTGGATCCACTTCCACTGTCTTTCTCTTAGCCTCTCCGACCTATGCTGTCGGGCTTCGCAGAGCTGGGGTTGGTGTTTGCTGGTATTGTGTGAACCTGGATGCCACAAAATGCAGCCGTGTGCCTAAAAAACCAGACAGAATGGAGAAAAAGAAGTTATACAAGGTACTCTGCACACATCAGCATCATTCTCCATCACACTTATACATATTTTGTTGGCACACAATCCCCACCTGAACAGATGCTTAACGCAAAACGCAGTATTTCAGCAAAATGCTGCAACACCTGAAAGTCGGGTCAACCGCTTGTGCTTATCCGTTAGCATTATGTTGTTGCAATCCGACTGTGCCATGTCAATGTGCATATGTGGCAAATTTTCTTTCTCTCATGAGCTCGAGCTCAAGTGTTGCCCGCGGTTGCATCATCGCTCGCGCTCCCACCCGCTCCTTTTCTACACGGGAGAAGGGAAACTCCGTAGTCATACAGAACTATGTCGAGCTAAAGTTAACATTTTAAACAAACATCAGAGTAGTGACGAAACGGTAAAGAAAATGAAAGTTTATTAGTTAACATTTTAAAGCCAGAGAGTGTTTTGAGTCATGAAAGGCTGGTTACATCATACACGGAACTGTGGGAGTGAAGGGGAATACCGCTGACTAGCTTTCAACAACAGTATGCCTAACTTACATAAAAAATGGCAGCAGATCCAGTAAATCAGTATTGTATTCTAATAGCGTTGAACCATGTACAATGTTGTTACAAATGTCACTTTAGGGCTAACCTAACGTTTCGTGCGTCCGTAGCCAGTGGGATCAACTGCAGGTTAGCAGGTTGGCTAATAGTTGGCACATTCCTAACCATGACGTCAGGCCTCGAACAATGAACTTGAGAGCTCATACAGGCTTGGTTTCTACATTAAAAGTTACGCGAACGAATAATAACGATTCGCCTTCGATCGCGATCATGTTTAATCGTCGGTTATGAATCTCTAGCTTGCCTCTAGATCCGGAAGTTAAAGCTATTTTGCAATCGAGTGAGCGGCACCGATCCTGTTAGCGAGCCATCGGTTAATTGATAAAAAAAATACATTCGACTGTCTGTATCGCTATCTTACAATATCCCGCAAAAACTTACCTTGAAAACGTTCCAGGCTTACAAGTCACCCACTTGAGTTAATAAAGAATAATGTCCTCTTTGTTCACTGAAAAATAAGCACAGGTTGAGGTGTTATTGTTTGGTAAAGCGGCGCTTGGGAGTATTGCGAAATCTTGTGACCATGTAGGGAAATCTGCTCTCGCAACCAATCAAATCAGAGGGTTGGGAGACGACGAAAGTACTCTTTGATTGACACGTCCCTAAACCAATCAGGCTGCATTTCTCGGTTTGGGGCGTTTTCATGCGGTAAAACATTAGATCTGCCAAGAATACTAAACATAAAGCTCGTTTCATAAAGCTGGTGAAAATTAGGATTATTTAAATGAAGTAGTTTCAAAGATTCTTAGAAGCGAGAGCCAAGCTAAATAATGTTATTATTGGCAATACTCTAGTTTATAATTTTGCCCTGGTAGCTTTGGTTATATAGTCTGGTAAATTCTTGCATTTTCGACTTCTGGAATTTATTCTGATTGACACTCTAGCAAATGAAAGTTGACTTGTTAAGTCAGATAAAATCTTGTTATGTTAATGGATAAGTTTTGTGTTTGGATGTCTCGCATTACTTAAAGGCTCAAATTCGAAATTCCCCTAGATCATCTTGTCCTCCAAAATAGACTATTTCAGTTCCATCTTTAATTTACCCCCCAATATTTTATTTTGATGCCGTGTTTAGAAAAAAAAATGTCCTTTTGAATCTAACGAGAGGACTTATTTTATTTTTAAATAAAGGACATGTAACATTATGGCTCCAATAGCTACATAAAGTAGGCTATTGGAAATTTAGGTAATTTATAATCTGACATGAAAGCAGCAATAAATCAACAGAACAACGTAATTAGGCTATAACACATCAGTTGCTGGCCTCTCGACTCATTCTTTTAAAACTGTGCCAGGCTCGCGCTGTAACAACAGAGGGAGCTCCCAGACTGCTCACTTTCAGCGCATGCAATTGTCAGTTGATGTGTGCTCTCCAGCTTCTCGCTCATAGCCTAGGTGAGACGCGTGCTGCGGAAAATATAAGAATAAACACAACAAATCAACACAAAGATAAAATGAATTATTCAATGGGATGGCTGGCTTTATTTATTTTTTATTTTTTGGGGTTGGTGAGATTTAATGTGGAGGCGATTCATTTAACATTTAATTTATTAAAAAAATCATATGGCATATTGTCCTACGTGGTGCGTTCCTTTTCGTTTACCCATTTATTATTTTTTTCTCTCGCTTTTAATTGTTTTACTTTAGTAATTTGTGTCACATTCATGTAACATATGCGTGCTGAGCGACAGTCCTGTTCGTAACCGCTTTGCCACTGTAATCATGCTAGTTTGGTCTGCACTCACCTCCACTTCTCTTTATAAAAATATTTTTCCCCCCTTTAAGCATGCATTTCCATTCACAACACGCCTCCAAAGGCTGCTACAATACTAGACCCATTGAGCATTAAAATCTAAATTAATTTAAATCTACAATGTAAAGGAAACAACAACATAAAGATGCATTGTTTAATTTGATTAATTATTTTTAATTTTTTGAAACGATTGCATATCATTTTACCTATAATTAAATAATATTTGCATTTCTGAAGGACCAGGTCGATCGGTGCGTGCGTTGAGCTTTCGCGTAGAGATTATGCAGTGAAGCATTAGGACCCAGAGCACGCCCGCCCTCCAAACTCCAAAGCGTATATAAGTGCACTGAGAAAGTATTTGACAGATGTGAAGCTCACATGCTGATGGTGTAAGTGTCATATTAAAGGAGATCCTGAGTGGCGTTTCAGCCGTTAAGCTTTCATTCACTTTACAGCCAAGCCACGACAGGCTGCGCGCTCGCCTGTCCCGAGAATTTGCTTTTACTGCAAACAAGCTGGATTCCCGGAGCTCTTCACCATGTCTGGCAGGTTTTAGATATCCCATGGAGCAAGCAAACCTCTACGAGGTCGCCCCACGGCCACTGATGACCAGCCTTGTACAGAGTCAGCAAAACCCTTATATCTACAAAGACACCGCTGGAGACCTGAGCGAGATCTGCGAGAACGAGAACTCCATCGACATCAGCGCCTACATTGACCCCTCTGCCTTCAACGACGAGTTCCTGGCTGATTTATTCCACAACAGCTCCAAGCAGGAAAAGCTCAAACTGGCGAGCGGAGACTACGATTACCCCCACGGTGCCAATGGCACCACGGGGGCCCCGCAGATGTATGGCTGTCTGAACAGCTATATGGATTCCTCCAAACTGGAACCCATCTACGACAGCCATGCTCGAATGAGACCCGTGGCCATCAAACAAGAGCCCCGGGAGGAAGATGAGCTCAGCCACTCGATGCCACCCACATACCACCACTCTCAGCACCACGCGCCGCATCTATCCTACCTTCAGCACCAGATCGCGCACTGCGCGCAAACCACAATGCACCTCCAGCCGGGCCATCCCACACCTCCGCCGACGCCCGTACCCAGCCCGCACCACCAACACAGCCACCTGCCGGGGGGCTCCATGAAGATGGGCGATCGAGGGAAATCCAAGAAACATATCGACAAGAGCAGCGTCGAGTATCGCATGAGGAGGGAGCGCAACAACGTAGCCGTGCGCAAGAGCCGGGACAAGGCGAAAATGCGCAATGTGGAGACGCAACAAAAAGTGATCGAATTGTCGACGGATAACGAAAGACTGCGCAAGAGGGTGGAACACCTTACGCGAGAACTGGAGACGTTACGGGGCATCTTCAGGCAGCTCCCAGACGGCTCGTTTGTCAAAGCCATGGGTAACTGCGCCTAACGGAGCGGGCTGAACTTTTGAAGTAACTTTTGCGTGATTTTTACGTCTGCTGGATAAACGCTGACACATTCTGAAAGTGTTTCTATAGGAGCCAGGCAGCTGCGGTATACATGTGCCTTTTGTACAGAAAAGAGACAAAACAAACAGACAAAAACGATAAGCTCATCTTTTCATATATTTGGACTAGCTTGTTGTAGGTGTAGTCTTGTTAGATGTTAGCTACGCGAAAAATATCAGTGCAGCTAATGGGCATGATTTCACCCTGTCAATCTACATTTTATGTTAAGTTACCAGCTTTCCTACTTCCCCTTGCCCCATTGGGTTACATACAAACCTAAAGCGACAAAAACAAAAAAAACACAAACAAACAAACAAACAAAAACGTTCCTGCCATAGCAGGCTGTTTTTCCACCACACCTGCTGCTGCACAACATTCACTGTATGATATTGTTGATTTAATACTTTTTTTGCAGAGGGTGTGTTTGTTTAATGGACGGCAATAGACAAAATGCCAAAGCATAGGACTGGAACTCATTGTTTTTTTTGTTTTTTGTTTTTTTTACTGTGGTAGACTATCTGTCATTCATAACGCAGACTGTATGCACTATGTCGTCCAAACGCGACCTTTTGAAGCGCATTGTGAACATTTTTCCATGAATCGGGTACTGATCTGTAAAACGCCTGTCAGAATAGACGCTTTGTATTTATGCAATATGATTGATAAAAAAATGTGAAAGGGTGCATATCTCTATGCAATGTCTGTTGCTGTCATGAGAATAATTCCGGTGGACGATCACCGTGTGCTTTCTCACTGGTTTTGCAGTGAAGTCCTGTCTTGCTCTGTAAGTGTGTGCATTTCATGTGAACTTTTTCTCTTTTTTTGTACATCAACACTCGAGCAGAGACCTGTTTCAGTGCCTTTTGAGTTTTGCTGTCTTTATCGTCATCACTGACTGAACTTGGACAGAAATACACAGCAAGGAAAAGGAAGCACTTTTTCTTTTTATTTCTTTTTTTACAAACGGCATATTGCAAATGTTATTCGAATGTTTAATATGTTTCAGTTTTAAAATGAACATTATATATAAATATAAAATATATATATATATATATATATATATATATATGCTAAAATGATGAATTAAAACATTGTCTTACATCTCATCCATTGCCTTCTCATTTTGAGCAGTTTTGCAACTTAACGTGTTTATAGCTTTATTTTGTTTATAGCTATGCAGCTGTTTGTAATTCACCTTCGTTTCTTAGTTTGTCACGCTCGTGTCTAGTATAATTTCTTTAGTTAGCCTACTCTGTATGATAGCATGGTTTCTTTAGTTAGCCTACTCTGTGTAGCATCAGCCCAAGTGTTTAGTTGACACATGCAATTCGCTCGACACCGATAGGTGGCGCTCGAAAGTTGTTTAAGTCCAACATGCACATACATATTTTTGTGAGTAAACACATGTGAGTAAAACTGGAAACCAGAATTAACTGGAATAAGACTAGTAAAAATAACTTTATAGTTTAAATGATAGCTTCCACATAATTTGTCTTTTACGTGAATACGAGAAGGCGTTTCCAGAAGGATCCCTTCAGCTCATGCAGGGTCTTCAAGCTTCACTGTTAACTTTCACTCAACAGTCATTCACAGCGCCAAATATTTACAGTGGGTTGTTGCACTTTTAATAGAGTTCACATTGAACACTATGTCACTAAATGATCAGGGTCACTGATAACAACTTGGTAGTACCACTTTCATTGATCAATGCCTCATCCCTCAGCTCTGAATTGATCAAATTATCAAATTGAGATAATGTAGAGTGCTACTGATGTCTTTATTTCTCTTGAGTATACTTTTCATGGAGAAGGAGAGAGATAGGCTCTCTGTGACTTGTGGAGACGTGTTGCACTCCATTGTTGTCAATTGACATGTTTTTACATTATCAGCTGTGGGATGATTGAATCAATAAATCAAGCCCCTTTCCAAACCTCTGTTGCAGATAGAATGATGGCACACAAGGAATCTGTCTCAGTCAGGTTCAAGCATAGTTGTTAAGCCAACATTTTCAGTCTCACTTGTACTTGCCTGCCAGCTCTGTTCTGTGGCCAGCTCTTTTTCCTCATTCAGCTTCACCTGTGAATGATCTGCTTTGTCCCACTTTCTATCATAAGTCAGAGAGAAGTTTCTGTACACTTCCATTATTCTAGATTATGCCATGTTTTAGCCAAAGACAAATCATCAACACCCATTGAATCTGCATAATAATATTAATTCTGAACTGAATTAAACTTAAATTGGAGAAAGTACTGGTAATGTGTTGAGACTTTTCCCAACTTTCTGGCAAAATAGCATGGCCAGCAAAATATAAGGGAATCTGAGAAACAAGTTAATTGTAGAATATTTATATACATTTTTATGAATTATGAATTTTCAAAAATAAAAAGAAATTTTTTATGAATTATGAATTTTCAAAAATAAAAAGAAATTTTTTACATCATTGTTTTTAGTTCTGATCATTTTTATAATTTGTGATAAAAAAGATTATCAGCCACAAGTTACTAATGTAACTTTCTGTATAAAATAATTGTAAAGTAGCCGGCCTTAATGCTGATTAATACAAAAGACGATGACAATAATGATAGCTAAAGATTTAATAACTCAATTCTGTGAGAATAGTCTACTCTATACAATATCTATAACGATAACGACAATATTGTAGGAATCACCTTCAGAATTTTTTTCCAGCTGATGAACGACAAAAGCATTGAGAGCCAATCAGATTCAACCCAATTTTAACAAGCTTGAACATTTAAACTGGCAGATGACATAACTGCAATTTATTTGTATTTTTTTAATAATAAACATAACATTATCATCCTTTTATTGTAGATGCCAAAAGTTATCTTTCTCAGTGTGGACAGGCCTTTAGAGTCTATTGCAGCAGGACCTCCTTTACATTGAATTTAAGTGCTTTCTGAGCGCTTGAATTTTTTCTCTTACCAGTCATATCTAGAGCCAGATATTGTATATTTAATCTATGAAATCCCATTACTGGGATTTCATAAAAGCTATATTGTACATACTGTGCAACAGCAGCTAGTTCTGTTCAGGAAACGTGTGGGAAACATGTTCATATAGGGCGAGATGGCTTCTCTCCTCCCTGAAGCTAAAACCTATTTATTTCCTGTGTAGCTGAGAGAATTCACCAATGATTGAATTTTGTCTTCTCCCTATCCAACATTTGACATGTTAGAGAAAAGCCAAATCTAACTTGACTTGATGTGAGCTTAATGTGTAGTTGTGTGCAGCTGTATGTCATGTTCACTTTGTTTCGTTGTTGCAAATTCCTTTGCTGGAGTGTGTTGTTTTTAACTCTGGTCAAACACCTTGAGAATGTCTGAGATGATGGCAAGAGTAAATTAGAAGAGCCAAGTGAAAAGAAGTGTTTTTTTATTAATCAAAAAATTGAATGCATTCACTTAAACAATCTGTAAACAAAATCAGGACAATAACTTTAGCTGGAGCAAAATTAATATCTAACCATTTAGCATTCTGCTGTCATTTTTTTTCTCATGTGAGCATATCAAGCAGTTGGCTTCCAGCTTCTTTTTCGAGGCTCAGATTATCGTCATCTTAACTCTCAAACTAAGTTTAGTTATCCACTTCCTCTGGTTCCAGCAGGTCTGGATCAGCTGTGTGGAGGACGCATCTTCTCCAAACTAGATCTAGATCTACGCAGTGCGTACAACTTGATCCAAATTCGTCGGGGCGATGAATGGACATTCATCACATTGCATCTCCCTATACAGTACCACCTGTTTGACTCCTGTTCCATCCGTGACACATATAGTGTGAGCCAAGTTCATTAATATAATATAATATAATATAATATAATATAATATAATATAATATAATATAATATAATATAATATAATATAATATAATATAATATAATATAATATGAGCAGTCTAAAATAGCACTGCCCCAACTGAACCACACAGTGCAACACATTGGATGGCTCTGGCTCTGACCTAATAAAAGTGATGGTTTGAACGACTGATTTTTGTTGCATGGTATGGAAACTGGTCTGGGCTTCACTTTTGGGGTTGTTGTGCATGTATAATGATCTGCTCTAAGCCAATGGGTAGAACAGCTTTGTCACATTAAGCATTTGGCTTCCAATACAGTGTATAACTAAATAAAACTGGCAGTTTGAGGTCAAGGAAAGATTTCTGTAATTTGGCATGCAGATGACCAGGACCCTTATGGGACTGTGATCCGGCCCTATAGCTATAGAGATCTCCATTATGAATAATTATCTTTATCCTAGTCATTACTTAATCATTACATCCATTTTGCTTATGTTTTAGCAGGTCACATGATTAGAAATTGCTGTCAAAACAATTTTGAGTGTAAAACAAATTCAGTTTAGTGTTTATTTTAGATTTTATGTTTTTATGAATAATATTTTACATTTCATTAGCCTAAACCCTTAAGTACTATAAATGCTCATGAATTAAAATCAACTTAATAATGGTTTGGGTTTAAAGAAAACATTGAATTGGCCAGAACAAAACCTTTTGTTATTTTCATAAGAGGAGTAGGAAAATTGTGTTGCCTGGTGTACTTTTTTGTTGTTGTTGCAATATTAATATGTATTAAAGTACTTTTTTACTTTATATAAGATCATTTCAGCTTATTTGATTCATTATTTCTGGCATTACTTAATTCCAGGACAGTGATACACTGTTTTAGTGCATTTGTGTGCGCTTGTTTTTCAAGTGAGGGAAATATTTGCGTTTTTAATGGGCACACATTCTTTTTTCAGAAGGGCGTTAGACATTTTAAGTTGCAGTGCATGACTGCAACATATTATTTAAATCAAGACACCAATTCACTCTCTGTGCCCTTATCTTTGCCTGGCTCACTACTTCTGTCTCCCTCTGTTTCTCTTTTACTTTCTCTCATATCACAAAATGAAAATTGGTTGTTTATTTTCCACCTGTGAGTTTGGCTTATTATATTTTGCCAGCCTCTGCCCTCTCTTCTCCATTCATATAGCATCTCATCTGCGTCAGACCATCACATACCCCCTAGGCATACAGACTTGTTAGAACAGTGTAATTTTCCACAACAACAGCTGAAATTGAGGGATCATTTGAACTGGGTTCAGATTAGATTGTCTTCTGAAGCCTCCAATACTTGTGATGTGATTATCAAGAGCAGATCAAAATATCACCAATCATTTCTTTTGAAGCACTTCGAATGCACTTTAGATTGGTGACAGAGACTGATTAAAATGTTAAATATGTTTGTGAGTTATGTTAAAAATGCACAGATTTGTCAGTAATGTATTAGTATGAATACACATTGGAAAATT